CAACTATTGTCGGAGCGCAGAAGGTAGACACAGTAGTAAAGCTGTGAATGAGCAGCCTGACCGACATCCGACCAATCAGAACCCAGGAGATACCAGCCAATCCCAGCTCGGCGATGCTCCAGTCGGGGCGGGGGCCGACGCTTCCAAGAGTTGTTTGTCTGCCCTCCCTACCCCACCCCTACCCCGGGCCCAAGCCCTGGCTCCAAGATCTAGGGAGAAGGAGGCTGAGAGGATGCCCAGAAGCTGGCAAAAGGAGGTTAGGCCCCCAAAGTGGAGGGCAGCGAATGCTAGGCCTGCATGATCCAGCCATGACAACACCCGCGTTTGTCTTGCGCTCTGCGGGACTCCTCCCTCAGACCCTGAGTCCAAGACGCCCTGTGAGAGCAGATGCAATTATGAGGACAGCTTCTGGAGCGACCTGGTCTAGAAGGATGTCAGGCCTCTTCTCCAAACAACCTTGGTAGGTGGTGGTGCCCTCCCCTTTCTTCTTGGAAATGAAAGAAGACGTTTGCAGCTAGCTATTCGGAAGAACTAACTCCCTGATTATCAGGAGGATGAAATTGCAGCTATACAGGAGCCTTCTCTGGAAGCAGTTAATATGGGGAAGAGAAGTGCGATGGAACACTTCTCCAAGCAGGATGTACCATCCCCAGATAGGCACGTGTCTTCCAGCTTGGTGGTTCTTCCAGGGTTTAACCGAAAACCTCCCTGTCACATCTAGATCCAGCCTTCCATTAGCTGCTTCTCAGATGTTTCCCGTCAAATTTTCTCATTTCTGTAATGAAGCTTTTGTTTCCATACCAGGTTAAAAAAAAAAAAATCTCCGAGGTGAGGAAGCGACGGAAGATGGCAGTCAGCTTATTTGCAGGTCTTTCAAAGGATGCCTTTGAGCAAACCAATGTTGCCATGACTGAGACAAGAAAGAAGGAAGACCAGGTGGAGATGGGAAGCATTAGATTTGAGGGTTTATATTCTATATCAGGCTCCGTGCTAGACATTTTGTATGAATTGAATCAAAACTATACTAGGTTGGAGTTATTGGTGTCCTTATTTTACAGCTGAGGAAAGAGACCGGAGAGGTTATATACCTTGCCCAAGGTCACACAGCTCCAAGTAGCTCATCTTAGATCTGCTATACCTGGCCCTGTCAGATTCTAAGCTTCTGCTCTTGATCACAACCCTATTTTGTGATCCCCCACCCCTTCATTCCATCCCTCTGCTCTGGATCCTCTGGAGGGCCTCCTCACTTACTTTGCATCTTACTCCTGTTTCTAGCCTTGGCTTGATTCCTTGTTGTATTTCAGATCTCCTAGACATTGGGACTTATCCACAAAGGGCAAAATCACCAAAAAAAAAAAAAAAAAAAAATCTCAGTCTGCCATGCCTTACTAATTTGGAACAGATTTAAGCCTGGCAAAACTTTTGGAACCTGCAGTCCAAAAGTGTGTTGGAGGGTTGGTTGTGGGGAGGGTATTCTAGGCCCATGTGACAGTAGAAGCTGTTGTTTTGCCTCTTTTCTCCTCTTCCCAAAGACCCACCCCATTCTTCTCCCTTAGAGGTCCCTGATGACAAAACCCCTGGGGCAGACAAAGTGACAGAAGTCCCTTGTATTGGAGAGGGCTCCCTTGGAATCAGGGCCTGGACTCTTGTGAAACTCGAGATTCCAGGAAGGAATGGCCTCCTCCTCCTGCAGYAGGAAGTGGCTTATAGGTTCCAACTCCTGGATTCCCTCTTCATTACTTGAATCTTGCCTGTTTCTTCAGCTACTGATTTTATCTTTTATCTGGCCAAGAAAAACACACCTTCTTTTCTGCCTATTGACAGTAGTTGAAATGATCACAGCTGGCTTGGACTAGCAGCCTGACTAGAGTCCTCTGAATAATCAGATCCAGCTCAGGGAGAGGTGCCTGGGGAAAGAAGGGAAGTGAGGGAGGGGTGATGTCACAGTTAGCCCCAGGATATTGTCTTCAAAATCTTTCTCTCCTCTTCCTTAGCCTCTTTGTAATCTCCAAGATTTCCTTGTCCCCTTCCCTCACATATACAAGACTGATTTCCCTCTGGCTCTTTTCCCACCACTAACAAAGGTAGGAATTTCTTGGTTCTGAAGCAAGGTCCTTAGGGATCCAAGTCAGATATTTAGATCTGGTTGAAGGCTCTGGGGGCCCTGACTGCCCCTAAGATTTACAAAAGCCTAGATTCCCATTTCAATCTCTTGGAAGCTAGCTCTGTTCTCAATGAGCATTCTCTAGAATTGGCACATCTGCCCCAGTCTTGAACCTGAACGCTGCCTGCCAGCCTGAACTACAGGACCATTTCTGAAAGGGTATGTCCCTTCTATTCCCCCTTAGTCTTCTCAAACTACCCAGCCATCATGCCAAAGCAATAGCTTGCTGAAATAACATAATGTTTTCCTCAAATATCCATCTTTAGCCTGGGTTGACACAGCTAAAATGCCGTTGGACTTCACTTTGAGGAAATTCCAAAAATGAGAATTTACAAAACACCCCACATTTTTTGTTCCTGCTAATAACTTATGGCTAAGTTACATACACTAGAAAGGATTCATTCCAATATGAGTAGTGGTTTTAAGTTCTTATTTTTTTGTACTCTTCCASGGGATATTTAGGGGTTGGAAGGCAGGATATTAATTTAACATAGTGAAGAAAATGTCTAAAATTATGGTGCAAGTCAGTGGTGATATAGGATCTGAAGTATGTGAATTCATTCCTTTACCATGGCAGGACAGTTTTTGTAAAGCGATGTATATAAATAAATCCTCATGGTCCAAAGTCAACGTCTGTGTCAAGTGCCTGTCTTGGGAAAAGGAAGACTAACGATCCAACCCCTAGTGGGTAAATTCAGGGAGAAGGCTTGATTGACCACACAAAGATCTGAAGTAAAGCCCTTGACCCTCCATCCCTTTTTTGGGAACTAAATGGGTCTTACATTGCCCAAAGGTGGCCACCAAAAGAAGCTGGAATCTGGACTACTGCCCAAACTCAGTTAGCATTCAGCCCTGCCTGGATCATTGTACACTGACCTGCCTACCCCATGGGTTTAAGGGGAGATGATCCAGTTACCTGTTAGGTACAGGCCAGCAGTAGACAGATGTAGAGATCCACATGGGAACAAATGATAACTCTTTCAGGCTATAAAGCTCTTCAAAGAGGAAATGCGGAGAATAGTGTATTAGGGTAGGAGAAAGGTAGGAAGGGAAAGTGATTTCCAATCCACCAACAGATTGGACTTTCTGTCCAGTGATTCTTAAGGATACTGAAATAAAAACTTCCACTATCCCCTCTACCTCTCAAACCAGGTCTTTCCACAGAGGACCAAACAACAGGGCCCTTTTGCAAAGTRCAGAGACACCTGGATAGCTGGGACTGGAAAGATTAACTGCAATTAGAGTGAAATAAAACTTCCCCTGTTCACAAGAGAAAAACAGGACAAATACTTTACCTCCAGCTATATTCACTGGGTCAATAGAGACTAAAGCAATTATCACCTTAAGTTTGGGAAGCCTCAATTCTATATAAAACAGATGGAGGTGTGTAATACTTTCTCAATAAATGAAGTATCAGAACCATCTTGATTCACTGTCCAGTGATACTGTCATTTGTGTATTGGTCATACCTCCATTGACAGCTGCTTTGGTAGCAGCAACCATGTCTTAATCACTTTTACAAGACCCTTAGTGCCCACTATAGTCCAGCACGTTGTTGGTCCTCAGTGGAGATGCTTGGCAGGGGTATTTTCCCTCTGTAGTCAGTCTAATGCCTCTTCACCCTTTGTCTTCTGTGGTATGGAGATATCAACCAGCCCAACATGGTCCCTCCCTCCCTTTCAGCCCAATACTGAGAAGTATACACTTGGAGAAGTAGTGCTTCAAAAATTTCTGTATCATCAAAAATTGATGAACCTTCTGAGGTATTAAGCAATCCATCATAACATTTGTGACTGGTTAACTTTAATTTGTCAAAATAAATCTGCAGTATTTTGCATGTTAGTAATACAGTGCTGGTATTGACAGGTAAAATCATCATCTGCTTACATAGAAACCTTCATTTAGGAGCACACCTTWGGAGGGAATGGATACACAATACAAGGCAAATGCAGGCCAAGCAGCGAGCCCTAGAGCATAACAGGTTGGATGTCAGATTTGARGATTATCTAATACAACCATTTAGCTGCCAATCTGATAAAGGGGAAGCTCTCAACCAGGTTATAACCAGAAGGGAAAAACACACTCTGCCTTTCGGAAGAGTGGTGGCCGTCGTGCCTTCAACACCTGGCTGAATCAGTTCATCAGCATCACAACTCATTTCCAGTTCCAAGACACAGGAGAGTTTCACCACATAACCGGTTTGGCCCCCTTTGCAGTGGCCCGCCCTCACTCCAATCCTGCCATCAACTTGCTCCCTCCCAAAAGAAGACACGACGTGGTTTTATTATTGCAGACAAGCTTCATAAGTGAATAAAGAATGCATAYAAAATAGCATTTTAACTGAAGTCATACAATGAAGTCTCACTCCTGTTTATTATACAATGAATTGATAAAACACTCATTTCTAGTATATATCTTTTTTTTTCTTTTTTAAGAACTAATACTTTCAGGATACTGACAACCACATTCTAGCCTGGGGGTAGAGCCCATCACATCTGCCCCCATTGAGAATTGCTCCTTGGGCCACTATGGAGGAAGCCTGGGCTGTCTAAATCATGGAGAATTATGACTGCCAGTATACCAGAAAGAAATAACTGGACCCAGGCAGAGCCAAGAACCCAGTTTTGGGTGGTCTGCACGCCAGAAAATGTGGGCTTCCTCCAAACGTGGTCCTTGCCCTCCCAATCCAGGCCTTGGAAGGGCCATTCCTGGGCCTTCCCTACATGAGTCCTTCCAGTAGTCCACACATAATGCTCTACATATTAAAAACAAACCATTTTTGTACTGTGGATAAGAACAATTGTAACAAAGTCATAGCTACATATTTTTCTCTACATTTTGTTTATTGAGACAAACTAATTAAAAGGCACAAACATAGGGTATGTTTACATGGACATTATAACAAACATATACATTAAAAGTGTAGGAATGTGTTGCCTTCCTGCTAAACAGAAAGTTCCTAAGCTTTTATATATACAAAAGTTGTACAATTTAATGTCCTAAAGTACAAAAGATCATTTATAAAATTATTTTACACTAGGTACTATTTATTTATTTATTTTTTACTATGTAGTTCAACCCCCTAGAACTGTTTTGTATAATGACATACAGATACCTATCCCTGATATAGGAAGTCTGCCTCAGACACAAGGTATTTTTTATGTTTGAACTGACACAGTGGGGTATAAACGGAAGCCATCCAGTTTGATAGTCAGTCCTGCAAACATTCTGCAGGATCAACACAACTAATTTCCATTTGTCTTAACTGCAAGATTAAAAATGAAAAAAAAAAAAATCATTGCAACTAAAAAAAAAAATCACAGCATCTTGGTTTTAGTTAACTCTTTTTAAACACAATGCTTTACAAACATTAATGTGTGGCATGATGGTGTAAAGAGTATCTGTTTCCCTAGCTTTTGGTTTCTACCTTATGTACAGAGATAAAATGTCCTGCTAAAAAATAAAAAGCACATGTCTCAACGTGCACAATCATTGCTGGGTTTCTACAGAGAGTACAGACAGCCGTCTCCCTGAAAACACCACAAAGCTGATACAAGTGTTTTATCAAAGAAAAAAAAGTGATGTCCATATTTACAAAGTTGAACAAATCTGCACAATACTTGATTAAATGGAAGGAGGAAAAAAAAAAGATATACTCTGCTTGTTCTGAAGGGGCATACTACCTAGTTAGTGGTTAGAATAAAAACTGTATACAATTTAATATAAGACATAAACTCTAGTGAGCATCTAACACATCTGTCCCTGTTGTAACATCAACAGGCTCTGATTGGGAGAGAGAGGGGCATATTACATCCCAGTGCCTCCAGCGTCTTCCAATTTAAAGCAATATATTTAAACTGTTCCAAAGTACACCTTGGCTCCTGAACAGGAGTCCCACTGGCCTCTGTTTGTTAGGACCTGTGGGTCCTTACACTTGACTTCTCCTGTCAATTGTGGCCTTTCTTACCAAAACACAATTTGTATATATTTTTAAAGTTTTTTTTTAAAAAGTCAACTACAATGCTATATTCCATCAGGATTAATATGCTGAGCAATATTTACATCTCCAAATATCAGGTCACAATCCCTATTATATGTTGAAGTTAGAATGATAAATTATCATATGCTTTGCATATCAGAGCTGGTATCACCTTTCCCATAGGGAATGCTGCCTGAAATTAACATATTCCCAAAGGTAAAATGCATATTCTCTGAAATGCATTTTATTATGATAATGCATGTATTTACTCATAAAAACAATAAACAGACAATTCTACACTAGCTCTCAATCTGTGGATTTAGAATTTTAAGTTAAAAATCAGCCATCCACCTTGTATAGGGAGAAGTTTCTGCTAGTGTTTAGAATAAAATGATTTCTTGGGATTAGAAACAGTAATGCTGTTTTTTGTTTGTTTTGTTTTTGAATTTTGATGGGTTTTGTTTTTTTATGATTAGTTTTAATTCGGGCATTTCATCTTGCCAAGTACTATTCTTTTTAAGCAATGCTGTCAGCTAAAAGGAATTTCTGATTAAACTAAAGTGGTCCAGTGATAAAGTTACATATACACCCTACTTTGAACAATCCCAGCCAAATTGGAGGAAAATGCTACTACAGTCTTATTAACTAATGTAATAAAATTCCCCAATTTCATGGTCTGCTTTTTGCTTTAATCAACTAAGAGTAAGTTGCTGGTAAATATTTACTTTAACCCATATTTTGATATTATTATAATACTGTTTACCAAGGCGGTGAAGTAGGCAAAGCTTGGGGCAAGAAAGGCATGCTTTCTACAGGCCTCATTGCTATATTCAGAGGGGCAGCTAATGTCATAGGTGTGGGCAGGTTCATTGGAGATGTGATCGTGACMGGGTGTGCTATATTCACTGGGGCAGTGACAGGGGTGGGGAGATTGACGGGGGTAGTGAGTGTTAAAGGAGAGGTCATGGATAATGGACTCGTTATAGTTACAGGGTGCCCTATGTTCATTGGGCTGGTTATGTTAACTGCACTTGAAACATTTACTGGACTTCTCATGCTCATTGCAGCTGCCACTGTGACTGGGTTTGACATAGTCCCAGAAGACACAGAGGATGTTATATTGAATGGAGTAGTAAGAGTCACAGGTGTCGTAGCAGCCGTGGAGGTTTGGCACAGGTTGGCAGCTTCTAAAATGAGAAGACAAAAGGGGATTTAGACTCTCAAAAAAATGAATAAAATTCACAAATAGTTTCTGAATTACTTCTTTTAATTAAAAAGGACAAACATTTAATAAATCAAATTACAGTTTTCTATCAGTGGTCAACAGGAAGACAGGTTCCCTCTGAATACAACCCTGGGAACCAGGGATCCCAATATGCAAATCTTTTCTCTGGTGCTATACCTCCTGTAAAGACTAAGGCAACTTGTTTACCTTTGGGCTTTTGGTTTAAAATTCAGATTTACTTACCTACCTCATAGTGATGTTGGGAGGATCACTTAACTTCTGTTAAGGCATTCTGGGGGGCAAAGATACCAAGTAGAGCTAAGTGTTCTCACTACCTCTTCATGCAGTTCTTCTGAATTTTAAAGACTTTCTGGGTCGAGCCAACCACCAGCAGACCAAGCAAAAAGAGATTATTTACACAGAGCTGGGCCAATGGTTACACAATAATAGATAATCTGAAAAATTTTCTCATAAAGCACACTAATTAGCAGAGAAAGGTGTATATACTTGATGGTATATTAAAGCCTTCTCAGGAGTGATGCTATATTTTGTTAAGGTTTTAAAAATGTATAACTAAGGAATGGTTATGCAAGCTATTTTAGTATCATCTATTTATTTGAGTCATAGAAAAATTGTTCTAGTTAAATAACCTTGTAGTTTCTGATGTTTCTTAATTTAAAAAAGACTACAATAGGTTTGTGTTCTCCTTCTCACACACACTTCCTATTCTTTATCTGATGCTGACAAAATCACCTACTTTATGCCCAGTTATCTTTTGATGGCACATATAACACACACCACCAAGCATACCAAGAAAGAAAACCTGGCAAGAAGACCATAAAGAGTTGGGGGATACTTGTTATCCAGCAATGCCTTAGCACTTCTTTTTTTTTTTTTTTAATTTTTTTTAATATTTAGTTTTTTAAGTTTTYGGCGGACACATCTTTGTTTGTATGTGGTGCTGAGGATCGAACCTGGGCCKCACGCATGCCAGGCGAGCGCGCTACCGCTTGGGCCACATCCCCAGCCCCAYCTTAGCACTTCTTTAAAAAAACTTCCCTTAAAGGTGACACCCCTAGCTTACCTCTCAAAAATTCAGCACCACCAGCTGATGTGCCATAAAACAGCAATGAGGACAGAGTGGTGGACTGGTGGTGATTTGGCTCTCAAAAATGAGAAGTGCATTCAAAACTAAAKATGGAGGTCTGTTCGTGGTCACTTGGGGTTCAAATCACCTCAGGTGCCCCCCCACCCAAACTCCCCTCCAGCCCTTTATTGATCAATATAACTTTGATATACTTCAAACTCCATGCCAGGAATTCCTAAACCTGGCTGATGATCAAAGTCATCTATCTAGGGAGCTTAAAAAAAAAAAAAAAGTATCCCTGGGAAGTTCAATAGTGAAATTGAGATTAAAACCTGGGAAATCTGTGAAGCTCCATCAGTGATGATCTGATTTTCATTTAGGTTTGGGAACTCATATTACTTTTCTTGGGTCTAATATTTGAATCATTGCTGATTCATATTTGTGTTTTCAGTTCAGGAATCTCCTCTCCCCCAAAAAGCAGCATTTACTAACATGGATATAGAAGTTTCTAACATCAGTGGTCTTTTCCAGAGACATTCATGGTACAAAAGGGAGCACAATAGCATTTTGTTCCACAGAGGTCAGAAGATGAACTAAACAATCAAATCTTATTGTGCAAAAGCAAACTGAAATACAATACCAAACAGAAGAGTGTAGAAAGAGAGAGAATGGGAGAGAAAGATAACTCACTTTTGAGGTAATGGAGGCATCACTAAGGATAGTTTTCTCCAAAGCAGGAATTTTCACGTTGTGTGCCATCCCCAACCTCCAGTGTTTTCTTTTTGATCTAACAGTGTCTTTTTTTTTTTTTTTTCAGTGCTAGGGATATCAAATCCACAACCTTGCAAATGCTCAACCACTGACCTAAACCTCTGGCCTTAACACTATCCTTTTAYTAAGACTTAAAACACTAATTTCTACTACTTCTCTAATATCCTTTCAACACACTCTATATTTATCATAGCACTACATTTTTTGGCTCCCACTGCCAGTTCCTATCTTCCTCCCCATTCTCCACCCATTTTCATACCACAAAACATTGTATCAAAATGACAAATCTTCCTTTGGAAGATAGGAACAAGAGGCACTCCTCCAATGCCAGTAGATATATGAAGAAGGATGCTATTCCTTTTATCTTTATTTAAGTACAGTATGTTTAGAGGGAGCTGATGAAGGGAACAGCCACAATATTTGAAAGTAGAATATGGAAGGAAAAAAAAAACCTACACAGCAAAGGAATTATATACAGGTGATCCTATATTCAGGGGATTCCTTAGATCTTAAAGCAGTAAGTTATGCAGGAAAAAAACAAGGAATTTAGTAATGGCCTATGGCTCATAGTGGGGATGACAAAATGATTTATTTGAAATAACTTATACAATAGTCCAGAAGTCAAACCTGTAACTATTAAATTGAAAACTGATCCTCCAACTGATTCTTTAAGATATATGTAGAGAAAATGAATCAATCTTAACTTTTAACATTTACAGCAATGTCTCTACAGAAATGCAAAGAAGTTAAGCTAAGGCTAGCCCCAGTAATAGATGGATGGAGTTTAAGGGTGAGACATGGAGAAAGACATCAGCATTATAGATTCTGAATCATGTAACAAAGAATACAATGCAGAAAGAACACTAAAATGCAGAAAATAACATAGTTACAAGAACTTACATACACCCAAGGATATTTAATCCATCTATAAAGATGGGAATATTTTAGAAAGAAAAAAAAAGAAGCCCAATTTTCTAGTAATAAACGTTTGTAAACTGTTGCCAATAGGCAGTATTTACATGTTTCCATAAAGCTAGATATCCTAAACTGTGATTTCTCTCTTTTGATTACTTGGCATACTAAATGAAAAGATTTCTCAAGCCATACTTAGAACACTAGGATGCCTCATCTTACCTTTCTTTCTTGCTTTGACAGCTTCTTCCCACAGTCTCAGTGTCTCTACCTGCTTCCCTGGCCAGCTTGTCACGTGTTGTTGTTGCTGCTGCTGCTGCTGCTGCTGCTGTTGCTGTTGCTGCTTCTGATTGCTGGTCTCTTCACTCATGCATGCTATTCCAAAGACAAACCCCAAACACTATATTTACCTTGAAAAAGTGTGACCATTTTTCCAAAATCTAAAGTACTTTGACTCCTTATGCCTTTGTGACCTCTATCATTTAATAGCACTTACTATAGTTCATCTTTTCTTCTGCTGGTTTCTGTATTTATCAAAATAAACAAATTGATTAAAAAAAATCTAGAGAACTAGGAAAAACCTATACAAAGGAGAAAAGAATTCTTTGCTATATTTAAAAGCAAGTGTCTTATGTCTTAGGGCTATGGATGTAGTTCAGTGGAAGAGTGCTTGCCTCACAAGCATGAGGCCCCTGGGTTCAATCCCCAGTAACTCAAAAACAAAGCAAGCAAGCAAGCAAGCAAGCAAAATACAGTATGGTAAATAAAGAAACTGTCCTTTAAAAAAAAAGTGTCTTGGGCTGGGGATGTGGCTCAAGCAGTAGCGCACTCGCCTGGCATGCGTGCAGCCTGGGTTCGATCCTCAGCACTACATACAAACAAAGATGTTGTGTCTGCCGAAAACTAAAAAATAAATATTAAAATTCTCTCTCTCTCTCCCTCTCTCTTAAAAAAAAAAAGTGTCTTTAAAAATGGAGGTTGAGGGGGCTGGGATTATGACTCAACAGAAGCACTTGAGTAGCATTGTGTGAGGCACTGGGTTCAAGTCTCAGCACAGCTTATAAATAAATAAAATAAAGGTTCATTGACAACTTAAAAAAAAAAAAAAAG